TCCGAGCTGGATACCGAACGCAACGGAATACGCCGGCTCGTTGTACTCCGCGACGCCTTGTGGATCAGACGCCCCCCTCGAAGTACACCATGTCACCCACCTCGACACGATCAACTTACCCCTCTATTGACATGCAGTGGACCGCACCCACTGAATGCACCCCGTAATGTCAGTCCGAACATGCGGGCTGCGCTCCTGTTTTCCCGGACAAGCTCTAGCATGCTAATGCCATGTCAACGGTCCGCATATGTGGCGACCTAATATGATCGTTCTGCAAGACTGTCTGGACTGCCTGGATTGCACGACTACTACACGTGGGGGCATGCACATCCCGCGTATTTATACAGCGAGCGCAAGGTAGGTACTTCACTCAACAGACCCTCCTCTCTTCCTCCCGCCTTGTCAAACCTCCTTCTCCCTCATCAGCCGTATCATCTCAGTCAGCACAATGTCTGCTACTACGGAGACGACAAAACTATTCTCGCCGTCCTACCAGTCTCTCGAGGCGAGAGATAAGCTCAAGTTCCCTCTCGGGCTGGTGCCGCGCAGCGTACGGCCATACTTGGAACTGATACGGTTCGAAAAGGCGAGTCTGAGAGAGTTTTTCCGAGATGACCGCTGACTTCTTCCGCTCGGCAGCCCACTGGCACTGTCCTCATGTTCTGGCCTTTTGGTATGCCTTTCTCTCCAAGTTGCAGACCGTCGTGCTGATCAGCTACGACAGCTTGGGGCCTTACTATGGCTGCTCGTGTCGTAGGTCTTCCACTGGAGATGTACTTCGCGAAGCTCTTGCAGTGCCTCATCGGCGCGTTCCTCGTCCGTGGCTCTGCGTGCACTGTCAACGACATCTTTGACCGCGACGTGGATGCTGGTGTCGGTGCGTTGTGTCTTGCAGTTGAATTGCCCGCCGTGACACTCAATATTTCATAGAACGCACGAGGGGAAGGCCACTACCCAGCGGACGCATCACGGTGTTAGCAGCTACTATGTATCTCCTATTGCAGTACGCGGTCGGTGTCGTGTTCTTCTACTTGACCCTGGACGGCATGGCGTATGTCTTGCGCACACATTCAGCCTCCTGCAATACTCACACGTTTGCAGATTCTACGTGGCCATCTTCCAATTGCTCCCCATGTATGGTTTCATCTCCGTTTCCTACGGCCCTCGCCTGACCCTGCCCAGGTTCATGGTCTACCCGCTCCTGAAGCGCGTGACCTACTGGCCTCAGGCATGGCTTGGGCTCGCCATGAACTTCGGTTTCATCACCGCGTGGATGTCCACCGGAGCGCCGACAGTCATCGCGATCTTTTCCGCAGCTATGGCGGGTTTCTGGAGGTGCGTCCTCCGGGCAGTTCATTCCGTGGCGCTCGATATTGACCGGAGCCGCCACACAGCTGGACTATGCTATATGGTGCGCCTACGTTCCGCCCTTGCGTCGTCCTCGCCTCCTGATCGTTTTCGCAGACACCATCTACGCATGCCAAGACAAGAACGACGACATCAAAGTCGGCGTCCGCTCGACTGCACTGCTGTTCGGCTCGTGGATCCGTCCGCTGCTAGTCACTTGTGGGCTTTTGTTTGTCGCCATGCTAGGCCTTATGGGGGCGTCAAACGGACAGGGCGTCGCGTATTTCGCCATCTCTGTGGGTGGCACGGCGACCCATCTCATGTGGCAGTACTTCACGGTCGACCTCGAGGTTCCGGAAAGCTGCGGTGGTACGTGCTGCAGTGCTATTCAGATTAATGAAGGCTGAATGTTTTCATAGCAAACTTCAAACGCAACGGCCACCTCGGCTGGATAATATGGGGAGGTCTCTTCGCTGACTACGTGATGTCTGTCATGGCCTCCGCATTCGCGCCGTCCACTTGATGGGCAGAAAATAATCAACGAACAGCTACGAGGGAACCATCCTACGCTGAGCTTGCCTCTCTATTGTTACTCTGCTTATCTATAATCATCCTAGCTCGTGGCAAGCTCGCTTATTCTATGCATACACCACTGATGCCTTAATTATCCCTATCTACTACACGGCCTCATGACTGCTTTCTTAAACTACCTTATAATGCACAGTGTCCTGCTCGCAAAGTATACACGGTGCCGTGAATATAAACATGAAGCATTGCTACTGTAGCAACGACTTGGAAACATGCGGTAGCCAAGCCTGCCGGTGCTTGTGACGACATGTCGAGGGCAGTGACCATGAAACATGACCCTTCATCCCAAATAGGTGTATGGTACGACACTACAGAGACACGGTCGCTGCAATCCCCGTCGTAAGTAGTTCCAAGAGAATGCCCAGCAGTACCTACAGTCGATTTCGACCATGCATCACGTGAGCCAAGTTCAAGTCTCGGCATTTGCCGGATTGAGTTTCCCGCTCGTCGCCGGACGGTCGTTCATTCATTCGCTGCTGCCGACGGCGAAATTCTGACGAGAGCCATGGATGTTTGAGACGAAGAACGATGATCCCGATGGCGAAAATGTCGAACTCTCAGACGCTTAGCAGGCCTTTGTGTCGGATTGGTGCCATCCCGCACCAGAGGTGCGCCCGCACCGCGATGTCCACGGCCCGCCGCACGGCGACGATTGTCTTGAATAGGCCAAAGGTCCTTTATGTATTGTTGGGGCGATGATCTATGTCTATTGCTCTGCATTGTGAAGCACGAACACGGACCAGAATCCCGAGGCCTGCATGACGGAGCAGCTACGGCCGTACGGGCGGGCACTTGCCCTCATCTATAGCCACAGGACGAAACTGGGGTGTGCAAGACACCAAGTGTCGCGCCTCGATCGGAGCGGAAGCAAACAGCAAGAGCAACCACACCGACGAACATATAAAACCCGGCGGCGGGAGCTGCAAATCCTCCATTCTCTCTTCGCTTCCCATCGCATCCTCTGTCTCTCCTTCTCCACCACCTCGCCCGTCCATAATCATCATGCAGTTCAAGGTCGCCATCCTCGCCACCTGCGCCGCCGCAGCCACTGCCGCGGTCATCGATACCCGCGACGCCGCCCAGGACCAGTGGCTGAAGGCGCACAACGACGAACGCGCCGCGCACGGCGCGGCGGCGCTCACCTGGAACCAGGGCCTCGCAGACAAGGCCGCCTCCTGGGCATCGCAGTGCGTCTTCGAGCACTCCAACGCGGGCCAGAACCTCGCGTCCACCTTCAGTGCGTGTTAGCGCCGAACACAATATGGCGCACAAACTAACGTTCTGTCCTTGTTTAGCTTCCGTGGAGAACGTTCCGAAGGACATTCCGGGCGCTGTCAAGCAGTGGAATGACGAGCGGAGCAGTTACGATGCTTCGTCGTACTCGGGCGCGGGTCACTGGACTCAGGTCAGTCAAATCCCGCTTGTCAGCCAGAACGATGCTCACCTCAGGACATCATCAGGTTGTCTGGAAGGGTACCACCAGCGTCGGCTGCGCTGCCCAGCTGTGCGCCCCGGGCACCCTCGGCACTTCGACCTCCGACCCTTGGAAGTGTAGGTTATTGCCCTCTTTCCTGTCGCGCTCGAGCTGATGACGGATCGCAGCAATTTGGTACTACGTTTGCAACTACGACCCGGCAGTAAGTAGTCCTCGCATTCTGGCGAAACGACAGTTGACTGACCTGCTTCCAGGGCAACATTGTTCCTGCGGATCAGTATTACCCGCAGAACGTTCAGCCTTGAGTGTAGCACCATGTATGATGGGGCAGAGGGGGAGAGAGACGGTCTCGATATTGCATGGACTCCGTTTGACATATTTAAACCTCGTTGCACGTATTTATGCCACGCATTGTCGTTGTCGACGATGGACGTCTGAATGTCGGATTGTGAAGAGGGAGCATGCATATTGGATTTTTGGAAGGCAATCCCAAGTGTATTGCAAGCAGCCTGTACTGTGGCAGGGAAGATACATCCGTATGTATACGAAGATGTACGCAGCTTATGTCCTGAGCCATGCCGTCTTCGCTATCTTCTTCTGTTTCTTCTGCTCTTTGAACCGCTCCTGAGGGTTGATCAGCATCATGAACATCATGGACCCATGTACCACTCACCAGATCCTTCTTCGTCGGACGCTTCCGCTTCTTCCCCGCTTCCTGCTCTTCTGCATCCCGCGTCTGCACCTCCTGTTCCCACTTGTTCACGTCGAAGAACACGTCGCTCATACGCTTCATGCGTTCGTACTCGGAAAGATGGCTTGGATCGCGCGCGTTCATCGCGGTGAAGGCGCCAGTGCGAGCGTTGAATTTGGCTTGGAAGGCTTGGGCAGGCGTCGAGGATGACGACGAAGCAAGAGTGGGATCGAGGTATGCCAGCGCCGGATCAATGCCCTGCTGAAGCGCGGCTTGCTGCACGGCATCGTATGGCGCGTACGGCTGGGGCTGTTGTGGCGTAGGCTGCTCAGCCGCGCTGGATATTGACGGACCGGCTGCGCTGGACGACGCGGACGCGGAGGGATCGAGGGGGTTCTGCCAGGTTGTCTCGCCAGTCTGGTTGTTGAAGAAGTAGTATGCGTTGTACTGTGGTGCAAAGACGGCTTGCCAAGGAGTGCCTTCGGCGGAGGGAGTGGAGGATGGCTGCTGCTCCTGCAGCTGGTGCGATGTCGACGTCTCGGGGTCTTCGGCGGTGCCGTCCTGTGGTTTGTCTGAATCTCCCTCTTTCCCGCCGTCTGATGCAGAGCCATCCTCTTCTTCCTCTACGGCTACCTCCGCGGTGCGTAGCTTTCCCGCCTGGTTGCGACTTGTAGGGGTTTCGTCATTCGCCGTTTCGTCTTCATCATCAGCCTCTCGGGGCACATTTGACTCGATCGCTTTCAAATGTGTAGTTTCTGCTGGCGAGGAGGACATGGCGCGAAGGGGGGACGGTGGGAGGGAGATGCAAGAAGAATGACCGCGAAGGTTGATCTTTGTTTGGCACCTCCTATTTGACGCGACCACGTGGTAAGCTGTCAATATTTGTACACAGCATTTTATGGACTTTCTGAGAATTTCAGGTTTTTCTCCTCATGTAACGGGCGCTTGGCACAGGGGTAGCGCGCACGCTTCGCATGCTTACGTAATGCGTGAGGTCGTGGGTTCAATTCCCACAGTGTCCATTTTGTCTGCTTTTTGACCGCTATACACTTGTTTTTCGCGCCCACTGTTCGACGTACTTACATTGGCACCGTCCAAAGAAAGACCCTTTGAAATGCATCCACCAATTCTTCAGGCTTCAAGCTGCAGCCATCTAAGCAATTCAGGCGCAGACAGGACAAGAAGCATGCAGTAGTTTTCATTGTTCAACGTTCAATTGCGATAATCAGACTCTATGTCTTACGGACGAGGCCCGGCAGCGAGAACTGCGTTACAGTTGGTGTGAGACCCCAGCCACCTTCCAACACATCTCAAGTCCTTGCCGCTCTCGACCGCGTCACCCGCGTTCGCGTCGCGGGCTCAGGCTCCGTTACCACCCCGTCCTCGTCCTCCTCCTTCACCTTTCTCCGCGCACCCCGCTTCGTCACCCGCAACTTCGTCCCGGCCTGTTCATCCTCGTTCTCCTTCTCCAATGGGCTCTCGGACCGTGGTGCAGCAGCGGCTGCCTTCGCTGCTGCTGCCTTCGTCTTCGACCCGCTCGCCGTCTTCGAACTGCTGGCCGGCTTCGAACTACTGGCCGGTTTTGAGCCACTAGCCGGCTTGGATCCAGTCGCGGTCTTCGACGCCGGCTTCGACCCGCTCGCCGCAGTGCTCCGCGACGACGGTTTGCGAAGCTGCCGCCCCGCGCCCGTCGCCTGCTCCGCCAGCGTATCGCCATCCTCTGGCTCCTCGCGCTTCACTGTCGGCTTCCGCGTACGCGTGCTCCGCTTCGGCGCCTCCTCCTCCGCAGGCTCTTCCTCGATGGGTGCCTCCTCGACAGGCTTCGCCGCCGCACGCCCCTTCCGCGACCGCGTCGTCTTGGGCTCGGGCTCGGGCTCGGGCGTGGGTGCGGTGCGCGTGCGCGCGCGGCGCGTTCGCGGGGCGGGCTCCTCCTTCTCCGCGGACTGTTCCTTCTCCACAGTTCCCCATTCCTCTGCAGACTCTTCGTCTACGGGAGGAGGCATTGTGACACTGCGCGCGCGCGTGTTGTGCGCAGCTTCGTCGCCAGTAGACTCCGACTCCGCAACTTCGACAGGCTTTGCGCGCCTGCCGCGAGTGGCGGCTTTGGGTATCGGCGGGACTGGCGGCGCTGCTTCGCTCTCATTCACGTCCGCTGAGTCGGCTTGAGGGGTCTTGGAGCGTGCGCGAGTCACGCGGGTTCGGGTAGTGGGAGTCTTTGTATGTATAAGTGAAGATCGAATAGGAAGTAGTCAGGCCTCTTACCTCGACCACCTCCGCTGCCTTGGATCGAGTTGATTTCTTGGTGGCTGCTGGAGGTTCCTGTCATGGCATGTCAGCCTGCATCCGCCACCTCCAGTAGGCCACGTACCTCTGTCGCCGGCCCTTCCGCCTTCTTGCCCGCCACGCCACGGCCCTTCAAGGTGCGTCCGCTCTTCGGCTTTTCGACAGGCGCATCCTCCATAGGTTCGTCAGCATGCGCTTGCTCCCCTGGCGTCGCTTCATCGTCCGCGTCCGGCTCTCCGGTCGACGGCGTGATCGGCGGTGTTGAGACTGGCGTCTGCAGCGGCGCGAACATCTCGCCTACAGCCTCCACCGCGGGCGTACCCAACCCACGTTGTTTCTGATGCATGAACAACTCGCGTATCCCGCGCATCTCAGGCGTTTGGGGTTCAGCTCGATGCGAGGAGGCTGCACGTTGCGGCAAGGCATGTTGCGAGGAGGTCGCCTGTTGAGAGAACGTCGCGTGTTGCGAAGACGTTGCGACTTGGAAGGCTGACAGCCCCGCTGCTGGAGGCTGCTCCTCTTCGTCCTCATCCTCCTCTTTCTCCTCAATATGCGCCGGCGCAAATGGGCGCACGGGCTTAGCGGGGCTAGCAGCGAGGCTCTGTCGCCTGCGCTCCTTCATATCCTCCACGGTATTCATCATGCGATCCAGCAGCCCGCGGGTATCTGGTTGCGCCTCCTCAGACGCTTGGGCGGCCTTGGATGGCGACGACTCGGGCACCGGCCGACGCTCCTTCACAGGAGACTTGCTAGGCGACATCCCCGGCACACGGCCAAGGAACTCGTCCGGAGCAGTGCGTGCGCTTTGCCGGCGCTCACGGATGGCCTTAGCAGAGGGTGTCAATGGGGCAACGGCTGGAGGGGCCACACTACTCACGCGTCGCTCGGCTTCTGATAGGCTAGGCCGGCCACGTCGCTGCGGCGTAGGCGCATCTGCTGGGGGTGGTAGGGGAACCTGAATATCTTCCACCTTCCATGCTGCCCTGACAGTGGGCATACGTTGCGGCGGACCGCCGCCCAGTGACAGGCGCCCGACGCTCCTGCCCATGCCGCTCGCTGGTTGGGTGTCAGATTGATTAGCAGCAAAGATACATTTTGACATACCGTTGGCCGTGGAGGGTGCTTGGGAGGTGAAGTTCGGCCGCGCTATCTGCGGAGTATAGTATGTGTGCGAGGGCAGGGCGCGACGAGCAGGCGTGGCAAGGGGAGCGGGCTCTTCGTCGGCCTCATTCGCTCCTTCCTCCTTGTCGGCTCCGGCGTCGGCCTCTTCATCCACTTCGATAGGTTGTACGGATTGTTCAGGCTCGGATTCATGATGCTCAGCGGCGGTGGGGACCGTGGCCTCTTCATCCTCATCCTTGACCTAGAATATGGATTAGACTACCAGCAGCAGAAAGTCAGTACGCACGCACCTTCTCGGGGGACAGTGATCGGAATGGCCACAACCGCTCCAGGCTCTTGCGCCACCCCAGAGTCCTCGTTGTAGGTGCCGCTTCCCTATCGTGAACTTCCTCTTCTTCCTCTTCAGGTCTGTCCGCCGGCGAGTCTTCATCAGTGTAGCTGTCGTCAGAATCGTAATCTTGTTCTTGAGGGCCGTCCACGTCCATCGGCTCGTCCTCTCTGCCTTCTGCGTCGTCGTCGCTCTCGCCTGAGCTAACGGCATCAACAACGGTCCCCAACACCTCCTCTTCCTCGTTCTTTTCTTCCTCCTCCATCTCTGCGCGCATAGCTGCGCGTTGGACGTTCCGGATGAGTACGGCACGGTGCAAGCTCGGCCGCGGGCGGCGCGACGATTGTCCTTGGGCTTGTGAGGACTGATTTTGACCACCAGGCGAGGGCGTAGGCGTCCCCGGGTATGAGGGGAAAGCCTTGCGGACAACGTCTTCGAGGATGACCAGGTCCTTCTCTTCCTCGACAACTCTGGGATGACTGCCGTCGACGAGAACAATATCATGTTCTTCGTCGTCCTCATCATCGTCTTGAGCGGTAGAGGCTTGTGCGAGCGGAGTTGGCTTCTTGGGGGATGGGTTGCGCTTGATGGGCGACTGAAGGATGCGTAGGTTCTCTGCTGGGATGGCAGAGGGTCTTGGGGAGAACACGCGGGCAGACTCGATCATGGAAAGACGCAGAGCACGTCGGTCGGGACCTGCAGTAACAGCATTAGTATAGGTACCGCAATCTGAGCTTTGCGACGCACGGGGAGGCGTAGAGTAGAGCATTGGTCGCATCTCTTTCGGAGGGTATGCGAAGCGGAATCTCTTGTTTTGTATCTCGATCTCCGAGTTGTTCTCAAGGGCAACAGTCGTGGGTTGCATCGCGTTCGTCAAGTTGGGGTATATGCGGTAGCCATCGAGGACGACTCCTGTCGGTCCCAAGACCATAAGAAACGCCTGGTGCCACTGGTCAGCTACATCGTTCGTTCATGTCGAATTTTGGCACGCACCTTCTTTTCTGGAAACATTATTTTGCAGTGCAAAGGGCTGACTTCCTTGTAGTACAATCGCACGTCGCAGTCCTCCGCGCTCCCAAACGTAAGTTCGTCCGAGTCGATGCCGAATCCTGTGAGCACCGTGTTCGGGTCGGAGCGTTTCATGAGCATTAGAGAGCCGTGGCGACCAATCTGGTCGGCCATTAGAGGGGTATCCATATCTTCAGTCTTCAGGAGCCGTCCTCGACCACGAGATGGAGTTGAAGGTCAAGCGCCTGGATTCCCAACCGGGTCCGAATCAACGTCGCGGAATCGGCACGTGATTAAATCCGCATGTGATCGCGAATGTGACTGTCAAGTGTCACAGTTTCAATGTGCATCGGAAACGTGCCAGTGGTTTTGAACTGCTTAGCGACTTGTGGATCTGAGCCTCCAGCAGCTTTTACAGAGTCCGTTGCGCTAGTCGTAAGTCCAGCTGGCTGTGCGCTACAGTCCAAGGTAACTTTATTGTAGCTTACTCTCACGCCGGGCATTCAAGTTGATCTGGATCATGGTGGCAGCTCGCGCCGTCCACCTGGCTCGGTAGGCGTCGAGCCACTCCAGTCTTAAAGCTGCTTTACACCAGCTCGTACTTCTGCCACGCACCGCTCGGCCCTCAATATGGCGGGATTGACTCGCTGCCCCTTCGCGCAACGGCAATCCCTCACGCAGCGCAGTGTAGGGCCAACTGGTGCGATTCGTCGCATGCAATTGCAGTTGACATTCACAGCTGCCAGCTCTTATAGAACTGAATTTCATCGATGAAACACGCCCTGTATAGCTCACGGTGCCCCTGGGGTGTAAAATCAGCCTCGTCCGACCCATACGTATCTGCAGAAGCTTACTGTATCATGATACCGGGCGACAACTGGTGCCCATCGAGTAGGTAGCGAAAATCAACACAGCCCGTGGGCCTCGACGTATGCGAGCTACGTGACTAGTCAGCAATCTAGATCGAAATATATCTGTGAAGTCCCTCACCGCTTCATCCCGCGACTGCATTCGCGTTTTCTCGCCCATGCGCCGTTGCTCGTCGGTCAGAGTCTCACGGCATTTAGCCCTGTGTTGGCGCCAGTGAGCATCGCCATAAGGAATCTTCGTACGCAGGCTGTACGATCCCTCGCATGCCGCGCAGACAAAGCTATGCGCGTTGAAGGACTGGATGTACGGATCCTTGCTGAAGTCGTCGATACGCTTGCAGACATCCCTGTACTGGCGCTTGCTCTTGCTGACGGGGGTGTCGGGTACAGCTGCACGCAGTTGCGCATCTGC